TTATATTATATTATAGCTTGGGCAAACAGGGTTATTATACTAAAAAATTACAGTGGGTTCATTGTTTAGTGAGGGATTCTGAAGCTTCTTTTATATTCCAAAAAATAAAGGCATCAGCGCTTAATTTCACAGAGGTGTCCTTTTTTAATGTGAAAAAATTGTGTTTGAGCTCGAATGAGTCTGAATTTTCCCTTTGCGTTCCACTGGCTCATAAGAGGTAGCTTTGTGTTTCTGTATACAAGTCTGCAATGTCTGTCTCTTTCAATATATTTTCCTTCTGTTCTATGCACTTATGATCTTATTCAACTTTTCATCATGTTGTGTCATATTGATAGTTTTGTCTTTGTTCTTTTATATATTTAGATCTTCTATTTCACATTTACAAGAATACTTTTCATTGAACACTCTTTCTATCCCATTGCTGTTTTGTCCAAGAACTTCAAACTCGTTGGTGCCCATATATTCACTCATACATTCATTTATTGATTCATTCAACAATTAATGGCACATTGCCTAAGGCATTTGACTGCTAACCAGAGAGTTGGTGGTTCAATCCCACCAGCCACTCTGCAGAAGGAAGATGGGATGGCAATCTACTTCCGTAAAGACTTACCACCTTGGAAACACAATGGGGGTCGCTATGAGTTGGAATCAGCTTGGGGCAGTGGGTTTGGTTTTGATACTATGCATTTGGCGCTCTTCTAGGCACTAGGGGTACGATTCTCTACCAACTATGCCTAATGAACCCCTGCTAAACAACTTCCCTTTCTGTCTTTCTCTTCTCTGTCTTTCCTCAGCTCTTTCTCTCTAAGCAGCACTCAAGTCATCACTAGCATGGATACTCTGAGCCAGGTAGATTCTGCTTTCAAACCCCATACCTCCTCTCCAACGGTTTCTTCACTCTTGCATATGAGCAAGACATTTGCTGGTCCTCACACTTTGAACACCATCTTTCTCCTCATTCTCTAAAATGTAACTCAAATTCCATAATGACTATTTCCTTCTCTGACTGTTCCTTCACCAGCTATTCCCTGCACTATTCTAATTTACACTTCATGGCAAGTTCCTCTAAGTATTCACGAGTTGTTTCATAGGGCTGTGCTTGCTACCTCCAGCCAAATTAGAAGAATACAAAAACTCCGAGCTCTAAATGAGTCAGTGAGGAAGAGTAGAAGGAGTTCTGGCCCAGCAGTAGAGAGAACTAGTTACTCCTCTGGCTCTGTTACTAACAATCTAGCATATAATCTTGACCATGTCATTTAATTGCTTCAGATTTCAATTGTCTCCCTCACAGAAAGGAGGAGGTTTCAACACAGAAATGGATGGATGGTCTCTACAAGTTCCCTTGCAGTTCTAAAATTCTATTATTTTAATTGTGCAATCACTCTTTATGAACACTGGGGAAATTATTGGAAAATTTTCTTCCTTGGT